GGAGTGGAAAGGAGGGAAGGTGTGGGGAGAAAGAGAGGGAGAGACAGAGAGAAACACTGAGGTGAGAGATACCTCCATTGGTTGCACTCCACACAGGCCTCAACCAGCCAGAGAGGGATCTGCAACCCAGGTACCTGCCCTTCACCAGGAATGGACCCCACGACCACTGAGCCGCACTGACTACAGTATTTAAAACAGTTACTTAAAACTTTGCTCCAATTAAAAGTTTCCTTGTTGTATATTATATACTTTTTAAATATTTATAAATTAACATTTTAAGTCATCCTTTTCATTGTTACCTAACATATGAACTTGAAAATACAATGATAAACAAAGGTTCTCAAAAATGTGCTGTGGTCTGCTGTAGTAGCAATAGAAACAGCTCAACAAAATAGCTTAAAATGTTTTATTAAGTATATGTAATATTATAGGGTAATATTTAAAAAGTTATGGTTTTTTAAATAAAAAAATAGCTTGGCAAAGATTGCAGATTTTCAAGGCTTCAACAGTGATAATTGACTTAATACATTAAAAAAAAACAAAACAAACAACAACAACCTGTAAGGTAACACAGCTGTAAAACAACTTTGGTCTTTAAATCACTTCGGAAAATGGCTACTGACAAATAGCACACCTTTAATTGCTATGGAAAAAGCCCCAACAGAGTATCTTGCACATAGCAACACTGGAGTTTTCTTTATTTAGATTGTTGATGGACATTCATCTGGTGTGGGATCTAATTCTCAACGATGGCTTCTGTAAATAATGCTCCATTTAATAAAAACAGAAATGTCTTCCTTTCTCACCAACCCTAATAACACATCTAAGATTCCACTGACGTTTAATTCCTATGGAAAAAGCCCCAAGAGAGTATATTGCACATAGCAACACTGGAGTTTTCTTTATTTAGATTGTTGATGGACATTCATCTGGTGTGGGATCTAATTCTCAATGATGGCTTCTGTAAATAATGCTCCATTTAATAAAAACAGAAATGTCTTCCTTTCTCACCAACCCTAATAATACATCTAAGATTCCACTGATGTTGCCTTACAGAGAAGCTTATTACAAATGCTCTCTCTCTTTTATTTTCTAAAAGATAAATTTATGGGAGAGCTGGACTTAAATGATAAGTAAGAGCTGTCAAACACCAAAGGCAGGAAACTGCCCATTCACTGCTCATCTCTTGAAAGGTACCTGGGTTATCCCTTTTAGCCATGGAAACTCACAAAGGACCCCAGTGGGAGATGGCAGTTAGTGACACTGAAAATACAACACATGTAAAACTTTCTGATTAAATAAAAAAGTACCTTGGCAAAGATTGCAGATATTCAAAGCTTCAACAGTGATAATTGATTTAATACATATAAAAAAAAAACCTTTAAGGTAACACAGCTGTAAAACAACTTTGGTCTTTAAATCACTTCGGAAAATGGCTACTGACAAATAGCACACCTTTAATTGCTATGGAAAAAGCCCCCAAGAGAGTATATTGCACATAGCAACACTGGAGTTTTCTTTATTTAGATTGTTGATGGACATTCATCTGGTGTGGGATCTAATTCTCAATGATGGCTTCTGTAAATAATGCTCCATTTAATAAAAACAGAAATGTCTTCCTTTCTCACCAACCCTAATAACACATCTAAGATTCCACTGATGTTGCCTTACAGAGAAGCTTATTACAAATGCTCTCTCTCTTTTATTTTCTAAAAGATAAATTTATGGGAGAGCTGGACTTAAATGATAAGTAAGAGCTGTCAAACACCAAAGGCAGGAAACTGCCCATTCACTGCTCATCTCTTGAAAGGTACCTGGGTTATCCCTTTTAGCCATGGAAACTCACAAAGGACCCCAGTGGGAGATGGCAGTTAGTGACACTGAAAATACAACACATGTAAAACTTTCTGAACATACTCACCATCAAACAAAATATCATTAAAAGGTAAAGGGTTGCCCAACAATCGTTTCTCTAGTTTCCAAGGATAGGTAGATAAAGGGGATATATTTCCATACATAACATGACAGATGTCCATTTTTGAATACTCACTTTGGGACAAGAGAAATCTAGAGGTGGAATAGAGCTTAATTCTTATTGAGATGAAGGAGTAAACTCATCAGTTTTGAGCTTTATTCACTCAAACCACAATTTGTTTGGTCACTTACTAAAGTGACTAAAGTGACTACAGCATCTTGGAAAGATCAATACTTCTGATTATGGGCTAGCCTCATTATTTTATCCTGACATCCTCAGAAATTTTAAACAGAATGAACCTGGAGTTTCCAGGTGAAAATCACTACCTCTGAAGGTTTCCAGAGTATGTGAAATTATTCCTAAAAAGAAAACTCTTGCTCACCCTATTAAAAATAGTGGGATATTTACATACAACCAACTCTCAATCATCAAATATATTCTGGGTATCTAATGTATGTAAGGCACTGATGGGAAGAGAAGGGAAAAAAAAATAGAAGCTCTTGGTAAGGAGGAATTTTCGAAGCAAGTGAGGGAAAGCATGCCAAACCAATAGAGCTAAGCAGACACAAATGGAATAGTAGAAAAGGTAAGATAAGAGGAAAGAGGGGTCCAGGCAGATGTGGATAGACTGCCAAGGGAGCGAGAGGTGGATGGGAATGGCTGAGGGGAGTCAATGGGGGGTGGAAAGAAGACATATGTAAAACTTTAGACAATAAAAATGGTGGGGGGAGTGAGTGGGAAAGGAAGAGTTGAAAGATAGTGTTTTGGGGTAGAGGGAAAATTTGATTTGGCCAGAAAGCTTGAAATGGTTGCTGCAAAAATGACAAATGGCTTCACTCTGAGGGACATACAATAAAATTGAACAGACGAATCAATGGAAAAAATTGGATCAGTGAGTAAAAAGCAGATTATGGGGGAAACAGATATATGATGCCCCAAACATTGCTGGCAATTTTAATTAGGTGCGACAGAAAGTTGGGAGCCATGACAAGTCTGATGGAATGAGAATGAACTGGCCCAATGGTGCCCAAGCAAGAGGGATGCCACTGCTGTGGTCCATTTTCCAGAGAAGCTGACAATGACTTAGAACGAGACTTGCTTTCATCTGGCATTTATCCTGCTACCTCTGCCTTGTCTCATGCAGTGAATGCCTCCAAAGATAGGCAGCATTAAAAACCATAAAGGATGGATAAGTCCCAGTTGAACCCTAAATAAAGGAGAGCTGACTGCATATTAAAAGGTACAATGTTAGTGTATAAGTTCACTATAAAGATTTTCATAGCTGACTTTTTCTTAATAGAGAATAAGAATTTCAATCTTTTCCAAGTCCATCTGCTTTTTCCCTCCTTTCAATGAAATTGTTTTCTAAAATAACAAACAATATTCCTAAAACGTAAATATTTTCAGAAAAAAAAGAGCAGCAGGAGCCATGCAAGTTGTATAAAGGAATACAGCTCCCTCTACATAATATAATACTTTGGACAGCATCACAAATAGGAAAAAATTAGTTTTCTTTTTCTCTTTTTTTTTTCAAGAAGTGCAGTCTTCATAGTGAATCTGGTTTTCTGAGAGTCATTACAGGTCAGACCACTTGGTCCCAACATAAAATATGACAATCAATTTTGACATTAAAGAGGCACATGGAAACATTCAGTGGACTGAGAAATAACTGTTTGTAATACAACCACAAATATGGATGTCTTATTATTACACAAGCAGGGAGAATCACTAGTATTTTTAGAGGGTATTGGTGAGCAGTCAAAAGACTTGGCAACTGACCTAAAAGTTTTAAGTGATCAAATATTCTCATCAAATATAATTCCACCCAAAAGGATATTTGTTTTTAAATGCTTTTGCTAAAAGCATGAAGAAAACAGGGGGTTTTGCTTTACTTTTCAATCGTGGAGTCAGGGGGATATGAGGCAGGACACAGGAGGAAGATGATGGGGGTATATCATGCAACACAGATACAGTAGCTATAGAACCACCCTTTCCAGGGCTGGTCTATTGGCCTTACAGTGACACACACTTTGTTGCCATGCAGGGGACACACATTTAAAACCTCAGTCTTGGTTTTTCATGCCCCAGATCAGAAGAGAAGTGAAGAAACACCATAGACTGTGCTTTCAAATCCAAGGAAGGGAATACATATGTTACAACCATCGCTATTTTTGCTGAAACGTGTGAACACAGTTCTCTGAGAACAAGTCTGGCTCCTTTCTGCAATGACGCTACCATGTCACTGGACCATGTTCAAAGAGGAGGAAAGGTGCTACATCTTGCACATCAGAAGCAAACAATAGGAGGACAAGACAGGGTTGAAAGTTGTGTGTATAAAAGAAAAAGACATTCATCAATAAAATTACCCTAAATCTGCCCTAGCCTGTTTGGCTCAGTGGATAGAATGTCAGCCTTTTGACTGGAAGGTCCCAGGTTACATTCTAGTCAAGGGCATATGCCCACATTGGGGGCTTGATCCCCAGTAGAAGGCGAGCAGGAGGCAGCTGATCAATGATTCTCTCATCATTGTTTCTATCTCTCTCTTCCTCTCCTTTCCTCTCTGAAATTAATAAAAATATATTTTTAAAAAATTACCCTAAATCTGTTGAAGGAAGCATGTGTGAATGGCAACCCCTAAGAATGAACACCATGATCTCCAAGAGTATCACATCACACAAAAGTAACACACAAATGTTTCCAACTAAATTCCTGTCTGTACGTAATTTGCTATGTCCTTGACCTAGATGTGGCAGACCCATATCCAGCTAACACCATAACTGCCAAAGTGGCTGTGCACCTCAGTTTCCTGAGGTTCGATGGAAGCCACCATTTTTCAGTGACATCTCTGGGTAATCACCAGGTTAGTGCCAGGCAATTTTCATCTTGAACCAATTTACACTGGTGACCTAGAGTCAAAAGGCCCTAGAATCTGAAAGGTATCATTTTTGGAAGTTGCCCACACTACTTTTGCCCCTAATTGAAGAAAAATAACAATAAAAAACTGGATCTCAATTGGGCACACAACACAGATCATGATACTTTTATTAACTAAATTACAAATAATTGAATAAAAACTTAAACTGTAATAATCATTTAAAATTCAATGATTTACTTTCTCTTATAGATGAGAGTTACTTTTCTTGTTTTCTTCTCTTGAACAATGAGTGAGTCAAGGTCACGGTCCTTAAACTTAAGTGCATTCCTTTCACATCTTACTACTCTGCAAGTCAGAGTCCATCACTTCCGTTCTTTTTGTCCTGAAAATTTAAGAAATGAACATTTAGTTACTATGTGTCTGTTTTCTATGCATTGATAAGTTCATGTAGCTTAAAAATTTGGAATTGTTTCAGATATATAATATCTAAAAATAAAGCATTTAATCTTAGGTTTGCAAAGTCGCAGATATAATGCAGGGAGATCATTAGCCATTTTTGTGGCAGGAAGGGAAAGGGCAATGCTAAATGAGAGTAAGGATCAACCAGGTCTGATCACTTTCATTTGCTGGGTTAGCTGAGGACAAACCAAGGGACGCTGATTTTGTAAAGCAAAAGCTACTGCTCACAGAATGTAGAATACTATTCCATCACGTTCACTTTAGATCACTTTAGACCTTCATGTAATGTAAGTGAAACAAACATGTGATTAGGTATAAATCAAATAGGAAATGTTCCTCATACAGTGGTTCAAAAAAGTCACTTCTTAAGGGAAATCAACAAAGGAAGTGGTACTCAAGGTTCTTATAACTGGTTTTTTGACCATGGGCAAAAGGGCTTTCATTACTCTATTCAACTAAAGAAGAATGACTTCACAATAGAAAAGGAAAGAACAAAAAATTAAAAAAATAAAACACCAGAATGAAAATATGAGGAAACTATGCTACAATTCTAGGCACTAGTTCTTTGTTTAATACCATTTTGTTTATTCCTACTAACTACATTTTTTTTATGGAGGGCTGTAATTAGTATAATAAAACATGCATTTTTGTAATAAAGGCTGTGGCACACAGCAACAAAAGTGTGATCATTCTGTGCCTGCTTGTTGAACACAGCCTGAACATTCTTTTAAACTTAATCCACCAACAGGCATTCGGTGTGATTTTACTCTTATGCAAACATTAATTGTACTGTGGAATACAGCCTTTTGAGTTAATGCTGCACTTTTGCTAGAAAGGTGAGCAGGTAGGTCACAGACTTTAAAACAGTAAAATGGAAAGTGAACTATTTGCATGATCAAGTCATGACAGTAAAATACCAAATGAATGAAGTTTTTGACAAGGTAAAAACACATTAAAATGTAAACAGAGCTACATGAATACTTATAACATTCAATATCTCTGACCTCTTTAACAAATGTGTGTATTTGAAATATTTAATAAATTTTTTAAATTGTTAGCCCAGAGTTTCCCCCCTCGCTCCCCCCACCCCACCCCAAGAAAGCAAAATCTGGAGTGGCCAAACATTTTTCTTCTTATTTATTTATTTATTTTAGAAAGAGGGCAGGGAAGAGTTAGTGTTTTGTTTTTAAATAATTTGTTGTTGTTGATGATGATCCCCGGAGAGAGAGGCAGGGAGTACAGAGAGAAAGAAACTTTGATGAATGAAAAACATCCTCAATTGTCTGCCTCCTACATGCTCCTCACTAGAGATCAGGCCCACAGCAGGTCTGTGTCCTGACCAGGAATTGAGCCAGTGACCTCTTTGTTCCTGCTTTGAAGCTCAATCACTGAGCCACACCAGCCAGACTCTCTCTCCCTCTTTCTAAGTCCTTTCCCTGAAGGTTAGAATCAATTCCTTTGCGGAAAAGCAAAGATATTAAGCCCCCATAGCTTAAGTGCAAAAAAATCACCAACACAAGGAACTCTGTCAAGATTATAAAGATTTGTGCCAGATTATCTACATGTCATATAAAAACCATTTACAGTAACTGTCACTGCATTTGAAAGTTGTTTGTAAAAAGCAGTAGCTTCTCTTTGCTGTGAGCAGTACAACTGGAGATCTGATGAGTGACACCCTGCAGCTTTTATATGACTAGTGGTGCAATTTTAACAGAGTAGATTTAAGTTTTGTAAATCAAGACATGTAAACCTTTATACTTTGACAGTGTCCCTTTTATTTAAAATGCCGTATTCCCAAGAAGCAATTTTATTTCTTTTCAATGTCTGTATTTTAACCAATCCATAATTGTATGTGCTTTTTATACTTACCATCATTCATCATTCCTTTCAATTCTTTAAATACCAAGAATTAGTAAGAAGCCGAGCAAACAATTAGTAAGGTTCCACAATTAAAAATCATTTCTAAATAAACTAGGTAGTAATATCATGCCAATTATTCCACAGCTGTCAATATAAATTAATTTTAAGACATTTGATTACAATGCCTTTCTGTGGATCATACCCACAGTCCCCCACAAAGGAAATAGTCAGTTGAGAATAGATCTAGATTTAGGGAGAAAGAAAGTGAAATGTTTTGGTCTCACTCCGCGGTGAGAGACTATATCTTCCTAAAATTTATGAATCAGAAATTGTAATTAATTGAGGTTCTTCTATACTGGGGGCGCTATAGACTTCATCTTGGCCAACATAAGAAAACAGTAGTCCCCTCGCCCAATATCACTTGCTAATGCATGCAACTACTTGAGAGATAAAGAGCAGTGTATTTTTCTCAGAGGTGAGAACATTAAAACAAAAAACTTTTATTTCTTGATTAATATTAAAAATAAAAAGAGAGGTGAAGGTAGAAAAAAAAAACACATAAAACACTAGATTTTCCCCAAGGCATAGACAAAACATTCTAACTGCTTTGGGGACCAGTTCAAATTATGATCTGGTAATGGATCAAGAAATATATACAAGTCTTGCCCCTGTGCCTACCAAAGCGTTGCAGCCCAACAGTTCCTTTCAAGGTGCATGAATTCGTGCACCGAGCCCCTAGTATTTATATAAAAATAGACTTTATTTCATGTCCTTCATACTAAAATTTATATATGCTAACATATAAACTATATAGTAAATGGTGAATCCTGTAGTCTAAAACCAAAGCAATAAAGGTTAAAAAGGAAATCTTTCCAAGTCTCACTAATAGTTTAAGAAGTGTCTTATTCTCAATATTCTTTTTCTGTGCCGAATTTGCTACTCCAGCTAGCCCCTCTCAGTTAAAGAAAAACCTAGCATCTTGAAAAAATTATTGAAGTCCAAAATACATAGCAACATAATAAATAATACAGTTAAACAAGAGATAAGAGCCAAACAATCATTTGTAAGTCATGCAAATTAGGATTTAATGGCTGGATAAGCTCTGACAGAGGTACAAGAAAAGCTGCTGTGTGTTTGTGACAGTGTAGCTGTGGCACCAGTCTTAGAATAAACACCCATGGCAGAGCACCCCTACTCCCCTTGCCTTTCAGTCATTTTCTTTTG